AGGAGGAGGAGGAGGAAGGGGAAGAAGAAGAAGAGGAAGAGGAAGAGGAAGAGGAAGAGGAAGAGGAAGAAGAGGAGGAGGAAGAAGAAGAAAGTGAGAAAGGAAAAAGGGGGAAAAAAGAAAAAAGACTTTTTTGACCCCCACCCTACTCTGCAGACACCCCCCTGCCTTTTGGCTAGGGGTTCTAGGCTCTCGTCCCAATTCCTTTTGCGCACGCGCATCTTCTCATGCGTTCTCCACTGACTTGTTGGTCTCTGCGCACTTTTTGTTCGCTGCATGGCTATCCAGCGGAACTACCTGTTACCTGATTTCACATTCAGAAAGGGTTTCTCCTTTCTTCGAAGGAAAGGGTTCCCCCCTCCCCACCCCCTTGAAATGAATTGGATTTATGCTGCTGCTCTTTTAATGTGTGATTCGTTCCGTCCCTTCTGGTGAGGTTAAGAACAAGCTTGTCTCTCAGTCATTCAGCACTTAAAATGAATAATTAAAAAACCACTGCATAATAGAAATAGATAAGGAGCATAAACCTCCTAAGCCACAGGACACGAAGCAAAGTTCCCTTTGCTTTCTGCTATGAGTTATTGAGCTTTTTAAAATCGTTTCCTGATGAAGGCAAAATTCTTAAATTGCGGCGATCCATCTGCAAAAATGACAGGGAGGGCAATTTATCATTTTTTTGCCTTTCTAAGGCCCCTGGATGAAGCGGGTTATCTGGACCCTTTTCAGTCTGGGTTCAGGCCGGGGCAGAGCGTTGGTCGCTCTTGCTGATGACCTCTGGAGGGCCCAGAGCGGGTGGTGCGACTGTCCTGGCTGACCTGGAGCTCACTGACCATAGTTCCCTTCTGGACTGGCTTCGGGGGCTGGGCGTGGGGGCCCTGTTTTGCAGTGGCTCTCCTCCTTCCTTCCTGGCCAGTTCCAGTCGGTGTTAGTGGCCCCTCAGGGCTCGGATCTCTCCCCTCTCAACATCTGCATCGTGGTGCAATATCATCAGTGTGCTGATGATACCCAGCTATGCATCTCCACCCCTGGCCGGGCAGGTGATGCTGTTACGGTGCTGTCCGAGCGCCTGGAGGCTGTAAGGGTCTGGGTGGGGATGAACCAGCTTGACTCAACCCCGGCAAGAGGGAACGGCTTTGGGTTTTTGGCCCCCAGAGCCTGTGACTTGTCGTCTTTGACTCTGGACGGGGTTGCACTCCCCTGGACCAAGCTGGTGCACAATTTGGGGGTCCCCCTGGACTCACAGCTCCTGCTGGATGAGCAGGTGGCAGCCGTGGCCAGGGGCGCCTTTGCACAGATCTGTCTTATGCGCCAACTGTGTCCTTTCCTGGCCCGGGAGGCCTTGCTCACGGTCACTCATGCCTTGGTCACTTCCTGTTTGGATTACTGCAATGCCCTTTACGTGGGGCTGCCCTTGAAAGCCACTCAGAAGTTCCAACTAGTCCAGAAGGCAGCGGTGCTCACAGTATTGGGTTCTCATAGGTTCACCCAGGTTACACCTTTACTGCGTGAGCTGCACCGGCTCCGAGTTTCCTTCCAGGTGCAATTCAAGGTGCTGGTTATCCCCTTGAAAGCTCTACATGGCATGGGACCCGGTTACTTGTGGGACCGCCTCTCCCTAAGAATATCTGCCTGTCCCACTAGATCGGATAGGGTAGCACGCTCCAAGCCCCCCCTACCTAGTGGGACCTCGGAAGCGTGCCTTTTCCGTGGCTGCCCCTACCTTGTGGAACCCGCTCCCCCCGGCGATTCGGCAGGCCCCCACCCTCGTAGCCTTTCGGAAGGCCGTTAAGAGCTTTTTACCAAGGGGCTGGAATAGGATGGTATAGATAGAACGTATGGAAGGAGGACCGCCGGAGTTTGCTAAGGTGACGATTAAAGCGCAGGGTCTTTGTTCCATTGTTTTCCTGTTTTATGATGGTTTTATAGTTATGGATTTTATTGTTGTTGCGAGCTGCCCAGAGTTGCTTAAGATGGGTGGTCATATGAATCTTTTAAATAAATTAAATAAATATATAGGGTTACATGCTGTTGTGTAAAACACTGGCTTTTTAAGAAGTCTTTAAAGACATCTTAATACACATGCAGTTCACAGGCTAAACCAATGTTTCTCCACCTTGGCTGCTTGGAGATGGGTGGACTTCGACTCCCAGAATTC